AATTTCTCTCTTTAGCAGTTGCGGATCGTACAACAAAGTTTTCAATCCGTTATCTTGTTAGATCTATCTAAACACACTACCAGCTTAGATTTTCGAAGGGGTATCCATGCTATTTTGAGTTGCAGAAAAAAAATTACTTCTGGGAAAATTATTCATGAGGCTCCTGATTCGTGCGGTCTATCCCTGAAATTCTGAAAAAGAAAACATATTGGCAGTCATATACTCGAAGACAATTTACAGCGGAAAATTTTTTTAAATCAATTCCAAGAGAATCAATTCACTTACAAGCAAGAACCCATCCGCACAAATTCCTAACTTACTTGGCCGTTAATCACTTTTGAAAAAATTCCAAACCATAATCCTCATTACCCGCAGCTATTATTTCTTTGCACATCTGCATATTTCGCAAGCCCCTACATCATACTGCTTGAGTAAGAAACTCAATCAATCACATGAAATTGAGCTGCTCAAGTAGATAAACTGCAGTTATTTGCATGGCATAATGCCAAACACTGATCTCTTTAACTGTTTTATAAATGTCAGGGTACAGCATCAAACAGTTTTTTCGAAGTTTCGGCCAATATCTTCAATGTAATGGGTACATAGCCAATACATCCTCTCAATTTTTAGTTCTAGACTTTACTCTGGAGGTTGCTCTTTGCAAAACATTTGCACCTAAAGTAAATAAAGACAATTTTGCGTCAAACAAATTCTTCACAAAAGAAGTAGAATCTACACTTCACACTAAGTACTGGCTGATAAGCGCAAAGTTGCACAAATCAAACGTTCCGCGGTGTAACATATCTGCACTTGTTACAAACTGGGACCGCTTCGAAGACGCTTTTGTGATTTTTGGACTTTAGCATACATTAACATAAAGTTGATTATACAAATGGGTTGGCGGCTCAGCCCCCTTATGGTTAGCTACGCCTATAGGTAAAAATGCTGGAAATTACTTATTCTAAAAGTCTGGCCTTTTAGAAAGTAGGCGGAGCTTGCCAATGAAAGGGCGGAGCCCGGGCGAGTGGATTTGAAGTCGTTTAGGATTCTGCGGTCATCTATGACCTCTTCTATGTGCTTTGAGACGAAGAATGTTTTTTGTAACAATCAAGGAATGTGCACAGTGGACCCATATGAGTAATCCTGAGCCTGAACTTTTTGTACGGGCACAAACTAGGATATCCTACACATTGCTAATCAAATATATTAAAATTCAGGGTGCCACGCACTATTGGCAGTGAATGACAGTTACAAAAAGTCGGTAGGTACTGAATCAAAACTAGATCATAATTGCTATGTTATAGCACTATTCATCAAAATATTTATTTTTGAATATGTGGTCTTTGATTTAACGAAGCAATGATTGTTACTCTCTTAATGTACAATAACCGTCAATAAGCGATTACTTCTTTGTCATGCTTTTTTTCTTCACTTTCATGACTTTAGATAACTTCTTTCGAGGTTTTGATGGTTTCTCAGGCCTCTCTTTCACTTTTGCTTTCGACTTTTTGTTTCGACTCGATGTTTTGGATTTCTTCGATTTCCGTTTCACTTTTTCTATTGATTTCTCTTTCGATCCCATAGCTTCTTTGCTGCCACTGACAGAGATGTCCTTGCTACCACCACGGATAGTTTCCTTGCTTCCAGTTTTCATAGTTTCCTTGCTTCCGCTTGTCATAGTTTCCTTGCTAGCACTAGCAGCTGGCAATGCTACAGGAGATAGCTTCATCGGCTCCTCTAACTTGGCTGGCGCAGAAAACGGCGCGCTAACTGATGATTTCATGGGACTCTGAAGAATTTAAGCGTTATTTTTGGATAATTTTCAGCAATGATGGACGACTAGGCAGATTAGCAAGAAGCGAGATGAGGGCGGAGGAGAAGGCGGAAGAAAGCATTTCCTTCTGCTAAACGTATTTTTTCACCAGATACATAACTTGCAATAACCTACTTTCACGCGTTATCCAAAAAGTTACAAAAAGTTTTAGTTTGTGGGTCATAGTATCTTCGCTTCACACCTT